CTATCGGGAACTCACCAAGGCCAGCTGGCCTGGGTCTGAAAAAGCCTGGGTTAAAACCAGTCTTGCTGAACATAGCGGACAATGAGGACTACTGAGACGTCAAGAACAATGGCAATGGGTTTTTGATCCTACTGCACCTATTGGTTTTGTGGGAGCCTAGGCAGTTTGGATTCCTCTTTGGGCTGACCAGGGAGGGGGACTTAACTGGGGGAGGGGAAAGGAAAGGGGAGGCGGTGGTGGGGAAGAGACAGAAATTTTTAATTAATTAATAAAGAAATAAATAAAAAAAAAAACATTGCCATTGTTCTTGAGTTCTCAGTATTCCTCATTGTCTGCTATGTTCAGTGAGTCCGGTTTTATCCCATGCTTTTTCAGACCCAGGCCAACTGGCCTTGGTGAGTTCCAAGAGATGCCCTATTATACAACAAAAGTATATGCTCAACTATATGTTCATAGCAACATTGTTTGTAATAGCTAGAACCTGGAAACAACCTAGATGCCCTTCAATGAAATAATGGATGAAGAAAGTATGGAATATATACATATTAGAGTACTACTCAGCAGTAAAAAAGAATGACTTCTTGAATTTTGCATGCAAATGGACAGAAATAGAAAACACTATCCTGAGTGAGGTAAGCCAGACCCAAAAAGAGAAACATGGGATGTACTCACTCATATTTGGTTTCTCGCCATAAATAAAGGACATTGAGCCTATAATTCGTGATCCTAAAGAAAGTGCTTTCAAAGCACAACTGACTTGCCTTCGCTAACACTATTGATGAAGGATGGGGAAATATCAATTAAAATATTCTAAGTGGAAATGGGAAATGTTGTAGGAGCTGCGGCTTGCATTCCTGCCACCCAGCTCCTGGCTGCCTACTAGCTTATGCCCTGAAATATTACACGGAAACTGTATTATTTTAAATACTGCTTGGCCCATTATATCTAGCTTCTTCTTGGCTAACTCTCGCACCTGGACTAGCCCATTTCTAATAATGTGTGTAGCACCCCAAGGTGCGCCTACCAGGAAGCTTCTACCCTACGTCCATCCTTGGTCGGAGTTTCATCGCGTCTGCCCAGGAGAGGAGAGCATGGCCTCTGAGCTCACTTCCTCTTCCTACCAGCATTCTGTTCTGTTTACTCCTCCCACCTATGTTTTAACCTATGATTCCAAGCAGTTTCTTTATTACTTAACCAATGACCTACTCCATCAGGGAAATGAGGTGGACTATGTGGTCTTAACAGTCTTTCTTGTTCCCAAGCTGGGAGGCACAGCTCCCTTAAGAGGGGCTTCCTCACAATAGGATCACATGTCTGATCATGAGAAAACCTGAAGGAGGGCTGCTTGTTGAGGACGGAGAACCTACTTAATGAAATGCTGATGGGCTAGAGGTACAGGTTTGCAGTACAGTGAATCTCTAGAATGAGCAAAACTGTGGGTACAGAATAAAAAAACCCTGAGACAGTGGGATAATTCAGTATCAGCTAAACTGACAAGCTGGAAGCCTTGGCTCAAGGAGAACAAATGATACAGTCACAATCCAGGTCTGGAAGCTTCCTGGACTGTAGATGCTGTGCATCCTCATTAGATGGCTGGAGGCTCTGGAGTCTTGTGGCCACTAGTGATGGTGACGGTACTACATGCTCTACTTCAGGAAGGATGAAGCTAAGCTGCCCTGGCAGGTTTTCTCAACTTTAATTCTGCTTGGGCTCTTAGACAACTGCATGGGAAATCCATACCTAAGGAGAAACATTCCCCTGTTACTCTCCTGGAAATCTGTCCTCTCTGACAATGATGCTGGAACAGACACACCAGAAGTGAGCTTCCCTAATCTTACTTTAGTCATCTGTCAGTCCAGCCACATTGACAACATAGACCAACAAAGGCATGCTGCCTTGTAGTTAGGGGAGATATTTATAGCTCAAGTAAGTATCCTGGGGGGCCATCAACACAATATGGCATGAAGAAAATGCTGTATCACATACAGTATATAGTATTTAACACATACATTACATGACACATTCACATGATGGACAAGCAAAGGAAAGCCTACTATCCACAGGCAAATGAATGCAACATGACATTATATAACAGTAAGAGAGCTATGCCAAGTGCCACATGTTCCTTTTTATCTCATACATGAAAACCAAACAAACAAAAAAATTAAACCCATGGAGCAGAAAGTAGGACTATGACAGGCTGTGAAGAGGTCTGTGAGATGTAGCATCTGAGAGCAGGGAGAAGGTAGCATTATGGCAAAGTTGTACATCATCTATGCATATGTGTACATGGGACAAAATGGCACCATAGATTTCATTTATTTCTAACACTAATGTTACTGACCATAAAATTAAAGATGGGCGAGGATCATGGCTCAGTGGGTTCAGTTTTGCCATGCAAACATGAGAACCTGAGTTCAAATCATCAGCACCCACAGAAAATTCAGGCATAGCAATACTCTTAAATCCCAGAGTTAGCATGTCTGGTGTGGAGGACAGTCTGCTGGATCCATCTGCAAAGCTCTCTGGCCACTCCGCCTGACAGAATCAGTGAGTTTCATGCTCACTGAGAGACTGTGTCTTAAAAGATAAGGTAAATCTGCAGCCAACTAAGATGCCCTGGGAGGTCCCTTTTCTTACTGGGGCCTGGTGTGCAATGGTTGCCAACAGTACACTCGTTTGGAGTGACCACACCCTGTTGCCTATATTGGCTACCCAAAGGGTCCTGGGAGACAATACAATCTTTTGAAGGCTCTTCAAGCTCTGATCTCAATGTCATCTCCAATCTAGGTATCATGCAGTTATTCACAGTGGTCTTACTGTCTAGGCCATCACATCCACCTGAATTACACCTCAGAATAAGGAACATTTGATGGAGGACCTATTTAAAGCCAAGTTCAAGCTCTCTGTGCTGCCAGAGGCAAGTGGTGTTATTAAGCCCCTTCCTCTCACTTTCTTGCCCTGATCCTCCTCACTGAGTTCTTCGTCCGTCTCTCTCTAGACCCACATATCAAAGAGATGAGGCTTCACTACATTGAATGTAGATTGATCTGAAGACACAGACGCTGAGAAGTGGCTCATTCCTGATGGCCGGGGGGTCAGCTGCATCACCAATCCTGGTCCCGTGGGCATTGGCGGGCCCCGCACTCCTCGGGGCTTCTACTGTGGTGCTACCCTCTACCCTACTAAATCATGTTCAGTAATAAATATCACATCCTGTCTGGGAAAAAAAAAAGGTGACAGATGATACACAGTGTCAACCTTTGCCCTACATACTCACATACACAGAAGGGGTTAGGGTGAAACATGAGAGGAGGAAGAGGATTCTAGGGAGAAAGGGAGGGGTGGTGGGAATAGGGAGGGAAGGATGTGATATTAAAGTTAAAATCAGTGAAATCGAAAACATTGGGCTAGTAAGATGGCTGAAAGATGGCTGAAAACATTGGGCTAGTAAGATGGGTCAAGCAATTTCAAATGTGCTGAACAGAGTTGGAGAGATGGCTCAACAGTTGAGAGCTCCTGCTGCGGTTCCCGAAGACTAGGATTCAGCTAGCCACCATCCACTTTGGGTAACACACAACCACCTGTAACTCAAGCCCTAGGGGAACTGAGCCTATCTTCTGGACTTCCTAGGTACGGACACACATTTGGAATATGCTCCCAAAGACTCAACAAGTATACACCCATGAAAATAAATGTCAAATGTACTGAACACAGGTTCTAGGGATTCATTCAAAAGATACAGCACAGGACAAGAGTAAGAGAATGATTCAAGAGTTAGACAAATACGCATGCATGCACACACACATGCAGAACTACTTGAGTAAAATTAAACTCTAAAGAGAACACTAGAAAATGCTCGTGGAAACACCCACCTAAAATAGTGAAACTGTAAGTGCCTATGCACACACTCACAGATAAAATATTTTTGACCAAAGGGAAGGGCAGGGATCTTCCAGCTAGTGTTGAATAATGCCAGAGATGAGTCTGGAGGTCTTTGGGAAAAGCCAGAGCCCCACTGCAAGCTCTAAGCCAACACGTGAAGATCTGGCTCTGCCATAGGAACCATGTCAACAGTTTAGCACATCTGAGCATGAAAATATGAGTTGTGCTCTACTGTAAGTCTGAGGGAGCAGGTTGGGATGGTTTTCCTGTAAAGGCCCATTTGAAATGGAGTTGAATCTGTGACCTCATGAATGAATGAAAACATGCACGGAAAGACAGGTCCCACCATTATTTATTTCTTCTGAAATAAGTAAGGTAAGATTCACTTTGCAGAAGTGACAGAGAACCAAAGAAGCCTTTTGTAAAATCAAATGACATCTGCTTCCTAAATGTAACTGGCCCTGCTGGGGAGAATGTCAGGGTCAAGAGGATCCACATTTAAATGTTGCTACTCACAGAACTGTTGGGGGTTCACTTCATGGTCAACAGAGTCTCAGTCTTATTTCTAACCAACAAAGTAAAGGGGAAAAAGCTACACTAACACCCTCTCGGCCCCGCTATTGCTCCCTGTGCATCCTCCATGTGAGCTTCAGAAGGTTTCTTCAGAGCTGTCAAAGACCAGGGACTGAAGGTACGTTTCAACGACCGACACATCCTGCACTTGCTGTGGGAAAACGGAGAGTTAGGGGATCATTGTTCCATCTCTGCCCATAGGAAGCCATCCTGAGGCACACAGCATTACAGACATCTGACTTACAGTTTCCATAACTCTGACCTGCACCTTGGAGATTTCTTTCTTCACTTCACTTTCTTTGCCACCAATAAAAGCTTTACAATGTTCAAATCTCTACTGGAGCTTGGCTTGACACCTCATCTCATGTAATTTTAAAAATACTTTGCATATCCAAAGGATGTTTGTTACAAATTCAGAGTAAGAACAGTGGCTACTTCACACACACCAAAAGGGTTACTCCACTTCACAAAAAAAAAAAAAAATTTCCACTGCCACATTTTAAGGCAGTATCATTGTGAGACAAGAACAGCAAAAGGACTTATCTCATAAATGGTTAGATGATCTGTTAAAAGGTCATGTGGAGCAGACATGGAAGACGAGGCATGGACCCACTTTGGAGACTCCCCAAGGATTCCCACACTGGATACCCCCAAGGTTTCCCAGAGGAAGGAGCCATTTGCTACGCCCATGGAATATGATTTTCACAGAAGAAGACACAGTGTGCAATCCCATGACCCTTCAATCTAAGGAAAGCTCAAGACAGGACTCAAATCCCTCTGTTCTCTCAAAGAACACTGCAGGGGTGGACACAGAAGAGAAAGAAGTGTGTCAACCTCTGTTCAGAAATTGCAAAACACCTGTCCAGCCTTTGCGCTATTCCCAGGGTCCAGAGCAGCTTAGGAAAAGATGGCCTGCACAGTAACTGAACACAGGTATGGAAGCAGAACTTGTTGTGCTTGTGGCTGATAAGGACACAGATGGTTACTTCAAGCAGTAAAAACATTAGGGAAGACAAGGCACCGGAGCTTTCTGGGCAAAAAGCAGAAGTAAAGCATGGGAATGAAATGGGAGTCTCCAGGGGAAGCTGGTACTCTGTGAGGGAAGATGGAGAAACAGAAGCTAGCAGCCAGTGAAGCTTTCAAGAGGGTGTGTGTGCGTGCGTGTGGTAGGGGGCGTTGTACAGAAGACACAGGAAACAGAGAGAACTAAGAAGGAAGGCCACTGGAAAATCTGGGAGAGGGAAAGGCCATGTTTCAGAACAACAGTATAGAAGGAACAGCGGGCTGTGCTCCTGCCGTCCAGCTCCCGGCTGCCTGGCTATCTTATGCCCCAAAATAACAACATATAAATTGTATTCTTTTAAACACTGCTTGGCCCATTAGCTCTATCCTTTTACTGGCTAACTCTCACATGTGGATTAACCCATTTCTATTAATGAGTGTAGCACCACGAGGTGGTGGCTTGCCAGGAAGGATCTTAACCTGTGTTCATCTTGGAGAGGAGAGCTATAGTGTCTGCCTCACTTCCCTTCTTCCCAGCATTCTTTTTGGTCTACTCCGCCTACCTAAATTCTGCCCTATCAGGCCAAGCAGTTTTCTTTATTAATTAACCAATGAAAGCAACAGATAGAAGACACTCCCACATCATTTTTCCTTTTTCTGTTTAAACAAAAAGGAAGGCTTTAACTTTAACATAGTAAATTACATATAACAAAACAGCTATTAAGCAAGAATTATAGTTATAATATTTATATCTATTTTATCTTTTATCATAAATAAGAAAAACTAAAACTATAACTAACCATTCTTCAACTCCATCAAAGACTCCAGAAGGATATAATATTACCTAAGCAAATAAGAAATAAGCAACTTCCAAAATTCTAGAAATGATAGAGACATCTCGCTATCTGGACAGTCATCCAAAGTTCCTCTGTACTGTTGGGGCATCCATCTTCAGCCTACAGCCCCATAGTTTCCAGTGGACATTTCCATGAAGCAGGAGATTTCAAAGACAGTTCAGTCACTTTCTGCTGTGTCCTGCAGAATGTCTTGCAGACACTTTCATGAAGCAGGAACCCTGAAAGACCATCTCACCTTTAGGAAAGTTCAGCAGTCCTCTCTCTGCAGGTTCTCTATGTTCAGTTTATGCAACAGTCCATACAATAGCAGTTTCTTGCCCATATGTCTATCAAACTCCATAAGGAGCCTCTTCAATGCCCATCTTCCTCTTGAAGTAGATTGGTGCTGCCAGGAGCAGATCTGTCTCATTGTCATGAAAGCCCTAAGTTATTAAAACATTAAATGCCATATTCTGAAGTCTTTGAAAAATATGAAGAATGTTTATCTAACTGAAATATATCTCTATATATCTGGAAAATCTAACAAGTCTAACTCTTATCGGTGGTTATCCATTAACAGCCTATATTTCCTAATTATACATTTCATTTTTAAATGAACTACACAATCACAATACTTTAATCAAAATCAGAAATACATATACATATAACAAAATTGCCCTTAAATTTAAATCACTAAAGCAAAATCCATATCAATGCAAATTATTCATATCTATATCATATCCCCCTTTAAATGTAAAAGAACATTTATAAACAGTATTTGGAAACATGGCTGTAGATTTTTCTCTCCAAACTGCTTCCTGATATATGGGGGCACTGTTAATCAGGTCTTTTATGGTGTTACCTGAGTGCCAGGTTCATCTCAGTCAGAAGTTGAGTGAAGTAACTTTTTGAGGGTTTTCACAGCAACTTTTCAGGAGGGCATAGTCTATCATACCATATTGCGATAGAAGCAATCCACAGGGTCTCATCCTCTGTGAAAACAAAAGAAGACCCTCTCCAAAGCATCTCCTTAGACCCAAATTCTGAAATCATAATACCCTTATGATATCCATTCTGCTTTAGCTTGGCAGCCCATATAATGAAATGTCTCTCTGTACTTAGCTCTTTCACAGTAAGAAAATTTAAAGAAAACAATGAACATAATCCAGACTCTCTGAATTTTCCATTTTTATGAGGCTTATTTTATGAGGCATTAACTTTATTCTCTATATTCTTTTTCTTCTCTCTCCCAAGTCTACGTACACTCATCCAACATTGTGACCCATGTAGAGGTCTTTTATGTCTGAATCTTTCCTATTGGGAATCTGTAATTTTTTACTGTCCAGGAATATTTTTGATTTACACCTTTAAATTGCTAAATGCTTAAGAATCTAAACTGTGACATTCCTAGGTCAAAAACAGGTACTGCGGGTTTGCTCCACCCAGTCCAATATGGCTGAGCCTCTTGTGACTGAATCAGTTGCAGCCTCTGAGCTGCATAGCAGCAGGCGGGCTGCTCTGGATGTTGGCTCCACCTCTCTCCAATTTCAAAATGGAGGACCTACCATATTCTACTCGTTCTGGGGCCACCAGTTAGGAGCCACACTCAACATTTTAACTTTGAGACTGAGTGTGTGGCACATAAACTCTTCTCATCCAAGTTACAGCCATATCTGACACATAGAGCACTGCACAGTCTGAAAACATCTCTCTGTATGGCGGCAGGAATCCGCCATGCTCTTCCACCTGCCTAACCCTGATTCTGCAGTCTGCCCAGGCAGGGAGTGCAGGCATGGTCTCAGAGCACTTTCTTCCAGATCCCGAGTGGGAACATAAACATCCAGTCCCAAAAAAAGCCATTGAAATGCTTTAAAGCCAGAGTTTGCACTGGCAGTACAGGCCCAGGAAGCCACATTTAAAAATGACTCAGCTTTTTTCTGCCGCTATTGCTGAAACATGAAATCTCTCTACAACACATCCTAGCAAACAGCAAAAGCTGTCTTAAACTCTGTTTTTTTCTGTGTTTAAAATTAAGCTCTCTCAGGTTTTATGTGGAGTATGTTACCTCGTTGGAGTGCCACTCTTTAGCTACTGGCAGACTGGCTAGCTTTACACCTGTTGGGCACCATTTGTAGTGATGAGATGAGCAGGCCTACTTTTCATCCCGCCAGGCTCCCACATAGCTAGCTTAGCCCTGGAAATAACAACACACAAATTTTATTCATTTAAACACTGTCTGGCCCATTAGTTTCAGCCTCTTATTGGATAATTCTCACATCTTGCATAACCCATTTCTAATATTCTGTGTAGCACCTTGAAGTGATGGCTTACTGGGAAGGATTCACCATGTCTGACCTGGTGGCTGGCTCCATGGCGTCTGCACAACTATGCTTTCTTACTCCCAGCATTCTGTTCTGTTTACTCCGCCTGCATAATTTTCTGTCCTATCAAAGGGCCAAGGCAGTTTACTTTATTAACCAATGAAAGTAACACATAGACAGATGACCCTCCTTCATCACAACAGTCCCGCAGAGCTAGACTGAGGACTAGGAAAGGAGGGAAGCCTGGATGGAGAAGCAGAGGGAGATCAAGAGAGTGAAAGAGGCAGAAGAGAGCAGGACAGAAGGGACTACCTGGGAAGCCATAGAAACCCAGTCACAAGGCTCCCTCTGAGGTACTTTTGCTGATCACACAGAAGTGAGCCTTTCTGCATGGCTCTTCCACCAGGCTCCCAGGCAGTATTCAGCTGCATTAGAGCTGCATGTTCCCTTTCTTAAGCTCTTCCTAAAGGCCTAGATGTATGTAGATGGCTCTCAAGGTTTGAAAACTAACTTTTACTTTTTTTTGCGTGCATTGGTATGCATGTATGTGTGCTTGAGTATGGTGACCAGAGGCCATAAAAAATTCAAAGTGAACTCAGACACCCCTCCTACACTTCCTGGTCATCCTCAGGGGCTACTCTGCCCGATACTTCCTCTCTCTTTCTATCCCACCCAGCTTGCATCCACAACCCTCCCCTCCCCTCGCTCCGTCTGACTCCCTTCCCTCTCTGACCACATAACATCTCCCAGCCCAGCCTGTTCGGGCTCTAGGACCGAATCCGAATCGGCAGGGCAAATGGGAGGGTGCTAGCTCCTTTGTCCCCACTAGCCTGCCTGCAGCGAGCTAGGTAGGTCCTTTGTTTACAAGATACGGCAAGCAGCAAGGAGTTCCGGTCCAGGCACCAGGAAGAGACATCACTGGGGTGAGTGAGTTTCCGACCGCGGCAGCAGCCCGGGACAGGGAACTCAGACACCCCTCCTACACTTCCTGGTCATCCTCAGGGGCTACTCTGCCCGATACTTCCTCTCTCTTTCTATCCC